AAATTAACCTCCCAAGCCACCTCCTGGGAGGCTGTGGGCAGCCAGCTCGGAGCTGGTGGGTCAGCAGAGACCCCTAGTGGCCAAGGGGAGGATGGCACACGGCTGGGGCCCGGTTCCCTGTTCCCTTCCTTTCGCCCCTACCTTCCCTCCCACACAATAAATCCTAGGGAAAGGTGTTGGGTTGTCTACAATCCCCAGCTGGGAAGACCTTTTGCAAGTCCATCCAGTTCATTTCTCTGTTTCGCAGGCATCCTTGTAAGTTAAAAATTCCACCTGTTTGAAAATAACTTAAAGGGAAACTTTTCTGTTAATTTCTTTGCTACACTACTTCATTTCTTTGTCCTGTGATGGTTTCTTGCAGGAATTTCTATCGTGAGTGGAAATTAAGTTTCCATGGGCAACTCAAGCCCTTCCCCTATTAACGGTGCATAACAGGACAGACAGCTCTGTCTAAGGTGACTGAGTTCCGGGTCACTAGCCCTTCATGTGCACCCCGCCGCACTCCACTTCCCAAAGTTCCCCACCCCCCTCACTGTTTCTTAGGAAAATCTTCCTTTCAAACAAGTCATCTTTTTGTGTGTGTTCCAAGATGAGATTTGGAGTAAAACTCACCCAGTGACCACCGAGGTCTGAATCGAGTGAGCGCCGTCCACCGCGGTGGGGCCGGGGCCGGGTGTAGCATTAGGCCTGCAGGTGGCGCTCAGGAGGCACCAGCTCTCGGCCCTTCCGCACCCGCTGCCCACCGTGCTCAGCCCCTTCTGAGAGGCTCTTTGTTGTCTCAAGCAAACACTACCCAAGGAACGGGAGTGGGCAGCTTCGGAAGATGCCTGTGGAGCCCAGCTTGTTGGTTTCCATCTCATTCCCAGGTTTCAAGCAGGTCCCAGAGGCTGGGGGACACCACGGCCGTGTTCCTGAGTGGAACAAGGCAAGAGTTCCTGGGATGGATCACCAGGGCTCAGCTCCTGGTTGCTGGATAGTTCAAGAAGGGATGTGAGGCTCTGGCTACTAAAAAACGTCACTAGAACTGCATCAAATGGGCTTCTCACCGCTGCCTGGGTCTAAGGAGCCTTGAAGGAGCAGCTTTATGTGGGTCTAGAGCAGCATCCACCGGGGCCTGGAGTCGGTGAAGCCCCACGGGAACGCTGTCCAGAAGCTAGTATTACTGTGTGCTTAGCCAACAGGTGCTCCCCAGGGGACTTCTGCTGCTGTCTTAGGAGTTCCTTCCTAAACACCTGCAGACTGTTCCCAGGCAGGCAGAGCCCCAAGGTGTCCATGCTACAGAGCTAGAGACTGAGGCTCCTGTGGAAATCGCAGCCAAGTGGAGTCTCAGAACAAGCCTGAGACAGAACTAAGAATCCTGGGGTTTAGCAGGAGCCCAGGAACGTCATAGGCGGCAAGGCAGGAATGAAGGGGACATGTGGCGAGGTCCGTACCTCTCTGGCTGCATGTGCCACCCAGCTGAACCTCTTCCGTTGCTAAGTAAAGAACCCAAGTGGCCCGCGGACTTCTATGACAGGCTTTTAAATCCCTGCCGTGCCACTCCCTGGTGGAGTGACCTTAGCCAAAGGAAGTGGGAAATAAATTACGGGATGGCTAAATGTGCCAGGCAGTGTGCTTGCACTGGAGCCTGTCTCTCTGACCCCCAAGCACATATGCTTTCTCTGTGAGCATCTGTGCTACCCTCAGAGCCAGAGGGCTTAGATTTGAGGCACGACTAATTTATCTCGGGAAGTCGCCTCCATTCTCTGGGCCTCGATTCCTCTCCAGGCAAATGGAATTCTCTCCCTCCTGCTGACCCCGAAATGGGATGATGAAATTAAAATGAAATAGCGTGGTGAAATAATGCTCTCTAATATTTAGTGGATATGGTAACTAGGTAGTTTCCAAACCCACCTGATTTGGGGGATCATCTGAGGGAGATCACTGAGGGTCTCTTTAATGGTTCTGAGAATCTGTGTCTTTAAAAAAAACTCACTGCTCAGGCAGGTTTGTGAAACTGCTCATGTTTGCAGACGTAAGGGACGAATATCATTTCCCTAGGCCTCAGGGATGCCAAGATTTTGCTTCTTGCCTCAGCTAAGAAGTTGCCAACCTAGCCCTGCCCATGGACTCTGCCCCCTAAAGTTTTTTATTCCATTTCTTTGCTGGTAGAATTTGGCTGACTCTCATCACCTTGTGGCCAAAAACCCAGAGAATGGGGAGCAGGAGAGGAAAGAGAAGGATCTGATCCAATGCATAAATTGCCTTTAGTTACCCAGACCTTGTAAGTTGGCATGGAGGATATCCAAGCCACAAAGTCGAGGGCCAGCCAGAGTCCGAGTGGACAGATGAACCATCCAGGTGGTAGCTCACCCTTCTGCCTTTGGCTAATCAACAATGCATTCATTGAATCCTGAGGGATAGATTTTGTATTTCTTCAACTGACTTTGCTTATATTTTTCTAACCTTGTTAATACTTTTTAGGAGGTAAAGAAAGCCTAAGACAACTTTTCTAATGCTTGAAATTCTCAAAAAATCCCTACCAAAAGGGGAGCACCATAGCACAGGTGATTCCAAACAAGAGACGCTTGAAAAGTCACTCTGCTGGTTTTAAGGGCAGTGGCACAGAAGGGTCCTCTCTTCTATTAAATGCAACTTCCAAATTTGCTTCAGCTTCAGATGCCATCAGAACTGGTTTACACTCTGTGAGAATGGCTGGCAAGGGCCTTGGAACAAGGGTGGCTCAACCTGGGAGCAGCCTCGTGGCTGAGAAGTCAAGCTCTGAGGGTTCCAGTGTGTCAGCCCTGGGCCAGTCATATTTTATCAATGAGGAGGTGAGACGAGACCCACACAAATGTCATGAGTTGATTCCCAAACTGATCATCTTTCCTCTGAGGCTGCTTCGGGACTTCTAGGTTTTAGTTGCTTTTATCTGTTCACCCTGACTATTTATGGACTGCCCATGACTCAAGTAGCACCTTGTAGCCCAGAACCTGGCACAACGTGCGCCTTGGGCATTTGAGGGTAAAGAGCCATGATCTTTACCAATAAGTTGCTGCTACCCAGCTGTGTGACACTGGACAAATCCCAAGGTCGCTACGCTTTATTTATACCTTGGGGAGTTGGAATTGTGACTTTTCAGGGCTCTTCTAGTTTATAGGTTTCTACACACCAGACTCCAGTTTAGACTTGAACTGCACTAACAGGAAGGCTCAGAGTTCTGCTCCAAGAATAAACCTCGCTGGCTGGAAGGCTCTCACAGAGCCCCAGAAAGGGGAAGCCAAGGCAAGAGCCTCCTTCTCCCTTCCCCAAGGTCACAGCAGCAGAGGTGAGCCAGGAATAGCAGCAAAGCCTCCTCCAGCCCCACCCACCCAGAGCAGCCAGCCCAAGAGGCCCTGTGCCTGCAGCAGGTGGGTGGGAGGAGGGCAAGTTTGGCTTCACTTATCCTGGTGCTGCTTATTTATAGGACACTCCTTCAGCTCTTGGGCCAGAGACAGTCCAAGAGGGAAAAAAAGGCAGCTCTAGAGGAGACGCCAAGGGGGATTTAATCATCTGAATTGAGTGAGATGTATAAATCAGTGCCGACTTCCTCTTCCTGAGAGGCTCTGCCAATTTCCATGGTGCCAGAGTCTGGGAGGAGGCTCCCCATGGCTGTCCCCTGGGCCTGTGACATTTTTGTCTGTTGCTACAGGTAGGCAGGCATTGGCTCGGGGTTTGTCCAAACGCAGGCTTCTCCTTGCTCCAAACCCTAAGGTCTCCCTGGAAGCTCCAGACCCAAGCTTCTGTTTTATCTATTTTCTTGACTATTTGCCTGTCTCTGACTGACTTATACATTGGTACATGGGGATGTCACCTGAATGGCCATTGGATCTGTAAACTGATTTAAGCCCCATTTTCAGTTGAGGAGCCGTGGTTGGGAGGAGCTCAGGGACCCAGTCTGATGTCTCCTGAGGCCCCTTCCAGACCTGGAGGCACTGACCTCTCTCACACCCCTCTCCTTCCTTACCAACTCTCTCTGAGCACCCAGCCACCAAGCGCATGATCCCCAGAAAGGAGGAAGGGCTTATCACCAAATTCAGGGATGCCCTGGCTGTTAAATGGGAATGGTAAGGGGAGAAAGGTGCTAGAAAAAAAGTGTCTTTTTAACTGCCTTGGCTACCCCCAGACAAACAGAAGGATCGTGTGCTGACTGGCGAGCAGAGCAAGGGAGAGGTGTTTCCAGGGGAATTCTGAGTTGGGAGCCTGAGGTTGACAAAGTAGCTAATGCCACGTGCCACAATGCAGGGTGCAGCCGCTCCTACAAGACACCCTTAGAAGAGCCTCTGAAGTTTTAACATATTTTAGGATCCTGAGCTAAGTGCTAAGGATACAAAGGTCAACATTGGAGGCTGCTTTGTGGGTGCAGCCTATACAATGAGCACTGTGATGGAGGTGTGTGAAGAAGAGCGGGGGCCGAGGGTGGGGCTCTGGGGAAAGCACCTGCAGACCAGCGAGTCTGAAGGATGTGCAGGCACTGAGCAGCTGAAGCCAAGTTCTCAGGCCTGACTGCACGCTACAATCACCAGGCGAGCTTTTAAAAGTCCAGCGCCCAGTACAACACCGCTTACAAATTAAATTAGAATCTCTGGAGTTAGAACTCAGGCATCATTATTAGAGATCTCAAAGGGTAGCCAGGGTATAGACCACTGGCTTATAGGATAATTTGTGTCTTGAGTTTGCAGAGAAATGGAATGGCTATATGGATGCTTGGTTTGTGATTTTTTGGGTTTTTTGTTTTTTTGTCTTAGAAATGGTCTTAGGGAAAATCAAAAGGTTTTTTTTTTTCTTTTTTTTAACATTGAGCCTTCTTATTTACTCTTTCTAGGAAGCCATAAGAATTGTCCTCTGGATTTGTGTCAGGGGAGGAGCAGGAAGGGGGAGGGAGGGAAGGCAGGAAGGGGAAAGGGGAGAGGAGGACTTTGGGTCTGTAGCAGCTAAGCGCTGGGTGACATTGTCACAAACCGCACCTCCCTTACTGCCAGGACCTCCTGCAGAATTCCCCCAATTCCATGTCTGGAGTCTCCAATAACCCCCAGGGGATTGTGGTCCCAGCCTCAGCGCTCCAGCAGGGCAACATCGCCATGACAACCGTCAACTCACAAGTCGTGTCAGGTCGGTGCAGGGAACAGGGTGCTGGGGATCATGGGAAAACCCTGGGAGGAGAAAGGGTTGCCCTGAAGGGAACCTGGGGAGGGGGGTGTCCTCTGCTCGGAGAGTGGCTCCCAGGTCAGTTTCCTGGTAACGTGTTCTGCAGGCTTATAGATGGGAGCACCAAGACCTCATTGTAATGATTAGGAATAAATTTGGGTCAAATTCTCATGAGCCCCCGAAATACCAAGTAAGACTCTATTGTCCCTTCCCCAACACACTTCACACCAGAGTCTCTGCTCTTGGCTCTGGACACCAGCCCCACTCTCTCCTCCCCTACAAGCGGGAGAACCATACCTCATTACCCAAGGGCTCCAGCATAGAGGGGTCTGTACCTGTGAGTGCCCAGGGAGTCAGAAACCCTGCCTGCCCTCACGCCTATCCACCCCTATGGCAGGGGACCCAAAAACTGGTTGTATTCTCAGGTGGAGCCTTATACCAACCGGTTACCATGGTAACCTCCCAGGGTCAGGTGGTCACCCAAGCAATCCCCCAGGGAGCCATCCAGATCCAGAACACACAGGTGAGTGTGTGTGTAGGTGTGTGCACACATGCATGGTGTGGGGCAGGGCAATCATGATTGCTTCTTACCTGCCAGGCACTTGTTACACAAGCAACTCATTTCATCTTCATTATCTGTCTAAGAGGTATCATTTCCCCCACTTTTCAGAGAAGCTGGGTCTTGAAAAGGTTTTATCAGCTCCTAGGATTTTGCTGCCCCCTGGGGTTACATCAAAGGATCCTGCACTTCCTTGCCTGGTCTCCGGACCAAGCCACTGTGTACCTCAGTGGCATGGAGTGCACCCATAAAGGGAGAATAGAAAAGTCCCAAGTCAGAGGCCTGAGATCTGACCTCAACTCTGTGATCTTGGATAAGTCACCTAACCTCTCTGAGCCTCAGAGTTCTTACACATATCAGGGGGATTAATACAGACAGCACATGGCCCTGCCCACCTGCAGGGCTGCTGTGAGGTGATGGATAGGAAAGTGCTTTGCAAACTGTAAAGTACCCCAGAAATACTAACCATGCTTAGGTAGCTTATGCCAAGTTCGTATCTACTCTGCATGGCCCTATTTCCTCTCCCCTTCCCTCCCCTTGTTCTCTTACCCTCTCCCCTGGCCAAGCCTCATCTCCTTTCTCAGAGGGGCTGGTATTGGGTGAGAGGGAAGGGCAACCTCCCCTGGGCCCTGAAGAGGAACTGGGAAAGGGGTTGGCAGCTGCAGCCCGCCGTCACCATGGCAACAGGTCCCTAGCCCGGCCTCACAGCCTGCTGATGCTGATTTTTTTTCCACGTGCCCTGAAGGTTAACCTTGACCTCACCTCCCTCCTGGACAATGAGGATAAGAAGTCCAAGAACAAACGAGGAGTGTTGCCCAAGCATGCCACCAATATAATGCGCTCTTGGCTCTTCCAGCATCTCATGGTGAGTGTGTGTGGCTTGGGGCTTGGAGTCATGGCGTGGGGCATGAATAACCCACTGCATGGGCACCAGACTCTGCTGCCATCTCAGAACCCTCAGAGGGTGAGGCCACAGAGAGAGCTCCTCAGTGGGGATCCCCTCTAGAGGCCAGGCCAGGGGAGGCTTCATTGGGACCTAACCGGGAAGTCTCTCTCCAGAACCTGCTGTTCCGCTGCCTCATTGACAACAAATGAGGCAGTGGGGACAGACATTCTGCAGAGTTAAACACTGGGCAGGCATTCGACATTGTTTCATGGACAGAGTTTGGTTCAGTGGCAGGGGGTTTGCTAACCTGGAGCCACCTCCTTCCCATAGCCACACCCATCGCACCCCCTCCCGTGGAAGAACTGGTGACTCTGGGCCACAGCTTGAAGGGCTCAACGCAGGAGAAGCCTCATAGTGCAGGCGAGGGTGGCTGAGAGCTCTGACTCTGGTGGGCCCATCACCAGCTCAGCTCCAGATGCAGGACGGTTGCTTTCATAAGCCTCAGTCGCATTCTGTAAAATGGCACACTGCCTTGGGTCTAGAGAGGGTTTCTGCAGCGCCTGCCGTGTGCACAGGCTTGATAGTTATTGTACATGTGTCGCATTCGCTACAAAAGGCAAGCCTTTGGTTGAATGTCAGAAAAGACTTCACAATTGTAATCCCCCAGGACCAGTTTCAAGGGCTGTCACAATAAAGAAAGGAAGCCCAGTGACTGTGCCAGTGCAGAGAGAGAGACAGAGAGACCTGGGATGGGGCTGATCCTGTGGCCACCGGTGGGCTTCCAGCAGCTGGCAAGCTCCCAGCCTAGCATACCGGAGTATGTGTTTATATAGCCCCAAGACAAACACCACAGGATTTTGGAAACGTGGGCTAGAAACCATGGAAAGAACCAGGAATAAGGGGAAATCCTTCTTCAGATAGGAGAGAAATCAAACGGGGCACAGAAATTAATCAGGCAATCAACAGCCCTTTATATGAAGTGCAAGGACCCCTGGAAGCCAAGGGGACCAGGCCTGGACAGTGGTGACAGAGGAGTGACGGGGATCTCAAGGAGTCCGACTCAGAATGCTGGTCCCATGTACCCAGTGGACAGGAATTGCCCTATGGCAACACATGTGGGGCCAGAGCCCTGTATCATCCCCACATGTCCGCTCAGCTTTGGGGACTTGGGGTTGCCCAGCGCTTTGCTGAATGAGCCTATTTTGAAAGCATTGTCTAGTTTGAACACCTAGAGTTTCCAAAATAGAAAGCTAATTTGGAGAGAAGAGGCTGAAAGGCTGAGGGTTGAGGTCAAGAGAAGGGGCTGGAGAGACTCCCAAGCCTAGGTGAGGAATCCAGGGCACTGGGAAACCCTCCAGGCTTGGGTCTCTAAGGAACAGCTCCGACATAGTAGCTGGAGCTCATGGTGGGGATGACTGGGTGTCCTGCCTGTTCTGGTTTCCCAAAGTGTCAGAGTGCCAATGAGCTCAGGTGGACTTGGCCTTCTGTGCCCAGTGTCCATGCTGCAGCTCTGGGCTCACTCATGGGGGGAGGGGTGCCCTGGGGATGATTCTACCTTCTACACACTGACCTGTCACAACTGAAGTCAGAGCAGTACAGGTGCCTTCCTGCGGCTCCACTCACTGTGGTGGGCTGATGTCCAGCTGTGGGTGAAAGTCATGGGTTCTTGAGGGAGCCAAGCCTGGGTTCACATCCAGGCTTTATCTCCTTTTTTTTGAGACAGAGTCTCATTATGTCGCCCTCAGTAGAGTGCCATGGTGTCACAGCTCACAGCAACCTCAGACTCTTGGGTTTAAGCGATTCTCTTGCCTCAGCTTTCCAAGTAGCTGGGACTACAGATGCCCGCCACAACGCCCAGCTATTTTGTTGTTGTAGTTGTCGTTGTTTGTCAGGCCTGGGCCGGGTTCAAACCTGCTAGCTTCAGTGTATGTGGCCGGGACCCTAACCACTGAGCTATGAGTATTGAGCCTTTTATTGTTTGTTTGTTTGTTTGTTATGACAGAGTCTCACTATGTCACTCTTGGTAGAGTGCCATGTCATCACAGCTCACAGCAACATTGAACTCTTGGGCTTAAGTGATTCTCTTGCCTCAGCCTCCCAAACAGCTGGGACTACAGGCACCTGCCACAATGACCAGCTATTTTTGTTGCGGTTGTCATTGTTATTTGCAGGCCCTGGCTGGGTTCAAACCTGCCTGCCTCCGTGTATATAGCTGGCACCCTAACCACTGAGTGACGGGCGCCGAGCCTGGGCTTTACCTCTTACTCATAACCTGGCCACAGTCACTTCTTAAAAGGATTGTGAGGAAGTGATGAGAAGATTGCAAAGACTTGGCTCACTGAGGTGCTTCCTTCCCCCCCACCCATGCATTTTGGAAGACTGAGGTGAACACACACGCAGCCTCATTTCTGAGATGCAGAAAAGGTGAGTGTAAAATAGGAAGCTATAAGACAAAGTCCCTGTCTGAGAGCCAGCTGTCCAGGCCAGCGCACCCTCACTGACTCCCAGCACCCCAGCCTGTGAGCACCCCCTCAGCTGCAACTCACCCTGAAGTCTTCAGCCTGAGGCTGGGGGTTCACCTGGCTCCGTCCATCCCGGCTGTGCCTGGGCTGTCACCTGGGACCTCAGTTCACATCCTTCCTTTCCCTGCTTCCTTGTCACCTCCCTCCATAGCTCGGGGTCTTAATCTTTCTGCTCCACGGTCAACTCCACCACAGACTTGGGGAGGGCAAAGGAAGGAGCTTGTAGCTGAGCACGAAGCAGGAAAAAAGGCAGGACCCAGATGCTCTGTGAAAAGGGCCTGGGACAGTGTAGCAGACTTGCCCAGAAGCACGAGGAAGAGCTTTCTGCCCACACTGTCCTGCCACCCTGCTGTCCTGTCCAGCCTGGGAGTGTGCTCAGGGCAGGTACTGTTAGGAAACTACTTATCATTGGCAAAGTCCTCCCCCTGTCCCTGTTAATGCCTCCATCACAGCAGCCATGGGGCCACAGAAGTCAGAACTCGGGATGGGGAGACGTCCAGGCTACTTCAGGGAAACAAGCATACTGCACCATTCTGCACATGACGAGTCTGAGCCACAGGGCTGGGTCATCTGTGCCAGGGCTGCAGCCAGGACACCAATACATGTGAGGACACCCCCTCAAAACCCCAGATTCAGGAATGAGGCTACACAGGCTCTTGGGAACTGGGCATAGTGGAGAGAAGACAGGCTTTGAAGCCAGAAGATCGGGGTAAGAATTGAGGCCCTCCTACTAGCTGTGTGATTGCTCTGATTCTGTTTCTTTGTGGGGAAAAAAGCTAATACTTATTCCCCATGGCTATAGAAATCAAATGAGATAACATATATAAAGAGTCAGACTTGGCACATAGCACTTAAGAAATAACTTCCCTCCTGGGTGCAGTGGCTCAAACCTATAATCCTAACACTCTGGGAGGCTGAGGCAGGAGGATTGCCTGAGCTCAGGAGTTTGAGACAAGCCTGAGCAAGAGCAAGACCCCATCTTTACTAAAACTAGAAAAACCAGCCAGGTGTGTGGCAGGCACCTGTAGTCCTGGCTACTTGGGAGGCTGAAGCAAGAAGATCTCTTGAGCCCAAGAGTTTGAGGTTGCTGTGAGCTATGATACCACAGCCCTCACCAAGGGTGAGACAGTGAAAGGCTGTCTCAAAAAAAAAAAAAAAAGAAGAAGAAGAAGAAATAACTTGCCTTTGAACTTTCTAGAACAGTGGACTAAGAACAAACTTTTGAGGCTGAGGCCCAAACTTGGTGAATATTAGATGGCTGATCTATCGTTTTGATTTGTAGCATCTATTGATTATACCATCATTTGACCCTAAGCAGACACTAATACATTACATTCCCCTCCTGTGTGTTTATCTGAGTATCTGTCTCATGTCTCTGACTCTCTGGTACATTTCCTAAGAATAGGGATCATGCATTATATTCTTCTGTGGGCCCTGCCTCACTGATTCCCAAAGTATACGCCTTTACAAGAATTACTAGGTGTTGCTTCCAAAAAGGAGTTTCACGGCTCAGCGCCTATAGCTCAACTGGCTAAGGCGCCAGCCACGTACACTTAAGGTGGTGGGTTCGAATCCCCAGCCCGGACCCGCCAAACAACAATGACGGCTGCAACCAAAAAATAGCCGGGCGTTGTGGCGGGCGCCTGTGGTCCCAGCTACTTGGGAGGCGGAGGCAGGAGACTCGCTTGAGCCCAGGAGTTGGAGGTTGCTGTGAGCTGTAATGCCACGGCACTCTACCCAGGGGGACAGCTTGAGGCTCTGTCTCAAAAAAAAAAAAAAAAAAAAAAAGGAGTTTCACAGTAAAATAAGTTTGAGCAAATCCAAGTTATACAAGATTAGCCAGTTTATTTACTTCTTAATGTACTACGGGCGTGGGAATTTGCAGTGGGGGGATAAGGCGTGAGGCTCCTCTCAACTTACTGGACCACTTGAAATCTCACTTGCTGTGTTCATTGTTGCTCTGAGGAACAACTGTGAGGCTGTAGTTCTTGAGAAATACAACTGTGTGGGAACACTGTATCGGGCAGGTTATCTGTGCTCAGGTTTAGAAAAGAAAGACTAGAAACAGTATGAAGGGAGGACAAGCCTCAATATATATCATAGATGTTCTCGTGTCCAGTGAAGTTGGGACAACTAAATTGTTGGTTGGGCGGCACCTGTAGCTCAGTGGGTAGGGTGCCGGCCCCACATACCGAGGGTGGCGGGTTCAAACCTGGCCCCAGCCAAACTGCAACAAAAAATGGCCGGGTGTTGTGGCGGGTGCCTGCAGTCCCAGCTACTCGAGAGGCTGAGGCAAGAGAATCGCCTCAACCCAGGAGTTGGAGGTTGCTGTGAGCTGTGACGCCATAACACTCTACCAAGGGTGTTAAAAGTAAGACTCTGTCTCTAAAAAGTAAATAAATAAAAATAAAATAAATTGTTGGTTGGTTAATGGGAAAAGTTGGTTTAAAAAAAGGA